ATCCCTGGTCCTGGAGGATCCCGCGTGCCACAACTGCTGGGCCTGCGCGCCTGGAGCCCGTGCTCCGCAGCTGGGGAGGCCACCACGGTGGGAGGCCTGCGCACCGCGGCGAGGAGTGGCCCCCGCTCGCCGCAACTAGAGAGGACCCACGCGCAGCAACGAAGACCAACGCTGGCAAACTAATTAATTAATTTTTAAAAAGAGAGAGAGAGTTCTCCCTCCTTACTAGTATGCAAAAAATTGACTATAATGTTAAAAAAAAAAAGAAAGAAAGAAAGAAACTAACCTCTCGGGTGCGGGGCCAGGGCCCAGTGACTCACTGCTGCCCCCCTCTCCCCATTCAGCTAAGGCTGCCCGGCTGTTTGGAAGTCAGCTTTTCACTTCTCCCAGGTGGACTAGACGGAAAGGAAAGAGTAACCACCTTGTCCTGCTGTCTTTCTTGCCAGTCGATCATCGGGACAACACACCCCGGCATTGTGGACAGCGTGCTGAAGGTGCTACGCACTATGCACCTGGAAGTCCAGTATGAAGGTAGGGGAGGCGGCCGGGTCTGCTCCAGACGGCACAAGGTGGCCATGAGAACTAGGCAGCTTTGCTCTGAGACGTTTTCTCCTATTCACAAAGAGCCTTAGTGAGTGTCCCAGGCAGCCTCGGCAGATGGAAGGTGCTGGCTCTGTGCTGATGGGCAAGCTATTCAGAAAACGACAGTCACATTCTGGGCCTGGAATCAGCCACATGCTCTAGCAGTTGTTAGAATGTGCCTGGGTCCAGAGCTGGCTCTCGTTCCCAGACTTATGTGGCATTTCCCCTCCAAACAGAAATCACCCTGAGGACTGTTCTTCTAAGAAACCAGATTGGGTGAAGGTAGTATTAATAAGTTTTCATTTATTGAGCATGCCTATGTGCCAGCCACTTTCCATGCATTGCTCCATTTAATTCTCAAAATAACCACAAGAGTATAGATTCTGGTACATATTAGGTATTCAAATGTTCAAATGAATGAATGGTGGGGGTTGGCATTTTTATGTTTTTCAAGCTAAAGCACTGAAGCACAGAGAGATTAAGTATGCTTCCCAAAGTTACACAGCTGACCAGGTTCAAACCAGATCTGTCTGACTCCAAAGCCTGTGCTTTTAACATGCAGCACATGGCAGGTGTTTCCAGGATGTTATTTCCTTCCCTGCTCTTCCGATGGTTCAGAGAAGGGAGATTCTGTTTTCAACAGGAGAGATCAAGGAAGCGTTCTCTGGGAAGGTGGTATTTCAGCTGAGCCTTGAAATATGGGAAGGTAGAAAGCAGAGAAGGGCATTCTGGAAAGGGGAATGGTGTAAAGGAAGGCCCAGACACAGGGAAGTACAAGATGTGTCTGGGGAGTGGCATGGAGATCATTTGGTGGTAGCAGTCTCAGTCTAGGAAGACCTAGGAAGGTAGGCCAGGACCAGATCATGGAGCACCTTGAATGTCAGATAGAATAGCAGGCCAGAGCCACAGGGAGACTTTAGACTGGAGTTGTTCAGACAACAAAATGGAGTGTGCTGATCTAGCAGGATAGAGAGGCCCCAGGAAGAGAGAGGAGGGACAGGACTGGGGAGCGCCTGGGTGTGGAGAGTGAGATGGCACATGAAGGGGGAATGGGCCTAGCCGAGGAGGCCAGGGCAGGGAGACCCATAAGGCAGGAAGGGTCTGGGTGACACTACATATCGGGATTTCTGTGCCCAGGATGACAGGCTGAGCCCCAGGTCCAGGAAGCCTAGGAGGGTCAGAGGGAGGAGGCCGGTACCAGGGTTAAGGTATACAAGTGAGACCCTGGGGATCAGCAAAGGCCTGGCGCTCACTCCCAGCCTAGATTGTTTTTTGGAGGCAGTGTTGAGATTGAATGCCCACCTTATCTTTCCTTCAGCAGCACTGTCAACTTTGTATTTGTTTGACCCCTGCGGGGGTACATGGACTCCTGTGTTGGGAAGTAATGCTATGTTGGAATCGGTTACCAGCTGGAGCAGAGCCTCCTAGCTGGGGAGGAGTTGCCAGGTGGAGTGGTAGAGGCACCTAAGCCAAGGTCAGGCCCAGCAGCAGGGAGTTGTTGCTGGCATTGGAGCAAGGGGGTGAGCTGGCGGTGGAATCATGTCAGGAGGCTTAATCAAACAGCCCCGAGGAGACTAGATTGAGTGGCGCTGTGACCTCCCTCCCCTCACCCAACTTCCACGTGGCAAAGTGACCATTCCGCCACTTCCCGCCTTAAGCATTTCTTCTCTGAGGGCTTCCCTGACCTGCCGTCACCCCTGCCCAAATGTCAGCCTCCTTCCTTTTTACCATCTTGCTCCCTCCTCCCCGCCAGCACCTGCCTCCATTGGAGCAGTTATCTCCAGAATGGTAACTTCCCTTTACATAGACTGTGCACAGTTTCCGTGCAGCTCTCATAGTTTTTGTCCTTATACCCCCAGCACAGTCCCCAGCGTATGTTAGGTCCTTGGTAGGTGTTTGTTGAGTGCGTGAGGGAGGGAGGGAGTCCTGCACATGCACACTGTATTAGTGACTACCTGCCTAAATGCCTTCCCCTCTGAGCAGCTTCAGGGCAGGGACAGGGTCTGATTCATCTCTTTTTCCAGCTCAGGGCCTGGCATATAAAGTGTGGTGTGCAGTAGAAATTTGTTGAATGAATTTATGCAAAAATGGCTTTGCTTCAGTTTCGCTGATGAAGTCCTCCAGAGTTCTTCCCATATCAGGCCCAATCTAGAGTCCTGCTGCGTTTATTACGTAACAACTGACTCTGGCAGAGGCAGCAGGAGCATGAATTGTCACTGCCTTTTTGGTTTGATGTCTGCTGGTGTGAAACTGTGCACCTCAAAATAATTTCGGATAAGCCAGACTCGTAACAGGAGTACAAGAAATGTCTGTTGAATGAAAGAATTATTCTTTTTTACCGGGCACTTCAAAATAGTCTTCGTGGGCTTCCCTGGTGGCACAGTGGTTGAGAGTCCGCCTGCCGATGCAGGGGACACGGGTTCGTGCCCTGGTCCGGGAAGATCCCACATGCCGCGGAGCGGCTGGGCCCGTGAGCCATGGCCGCTGAGCCTGCGCGTCCGGAGCCTGTGCTCCGCACGCAAAAAAAAGAAAAAGTAAAATAGTCTTCGTGTCCCTGGGAATATAGAGCATGCATGTGCATTGATCGTCCACCAGGGGGAACTATTTCACACGATTGGTGGAGTGGAAGTTAAGGGCAAGAATATGGTTCTCAGTTTTCACGGCGACTCCTCCAAAGGCAGGGGAGGGAAAGTCTGACAGGCCCCAAGTCTGGGGCCTAACACTGATGACCGGAGAGGATCAGAGATGAATTTCTCTGAGTTTGAGGACACCAAATTGCAAGACCAAGGTGGAGCTCCCCCAGGATGGTGGCAACATCAGGGGGAGCCAGTGATACAGCTGAAGGGACTAAGCTTTATAAGGGCTTGCTTTTTAAAAACAAGTATTAATTGAACATCTGTGGTGTGCCAAGTACTATGCCAAGTACTAGGGTTTTGTCTGTGTCTGTTTGTTTGTATTTGAGGAGAAAAAGGAATGGTTTGGAAGGAGGAAGTTACGGAGGCCGTGCTCTCTACCCTGCGTGCTGCATGGGGCGGGGGATGACATCCTTCCCTGAGAAGGCTCCAGGGAAAGTGGATTCTCAGGGGCAGTCCCGTGAAAACAGGAGGTGGAGAGGTTCGGTGGGCCTGGTGACACTTTCCCTCGCAGTGGGCGTCTGTGATGGAGGAGCCAGGAGATGACCTCACCTCCTTTTCCATTGAGACCTTCCCCCCCTCCAAACCTACCAACCTGCCTGGCCTGTCACCCACCTCCTCTACTCTCTTTCCCGTTACAACAGAGTGTCCCTACTCCCGTCACAGGCCACCTCCTTGACCCCAAGTTCCCCTCCAGCTCCTCATTTTTCCATTTTCTTCCATCATATTGGGAATAAAATTTGAAATACCTAGTTTTTTCAGCCCAGATGGCTAAGTGGAAGCTGTGTATCTTAAGTGACTCTTTACTTTCTGAGAGTTCTTAGGGCCAAGGCACACGGTTCGGAGGAGGAAAAGGAGAAGGAAGGTAGGAGATGATAAGGCTCTTGAGCTGGGGGGG